TTACCAGAAAAAAAAGGTTTACCGCATAAAATGACCCATCGAGGTTGATATGCCGTAAAACAAACCAAACCAAACCAAACTCTATTTCTGGTCAGTTACTGCACATCGTAACAATTCTTGTAGTTACAGATAACAACTAGACACTTTGCAGCACATGACAAGTTTGCTGGAGGTATCTTTCGAGGTTAGCAGCCAATTTAACCTTATCAGACTTATCAGACGTAGATGGGGAAACAAGTAGTGAGGTCCTGCATGTGTGGATGGTGTATGACATAACAGCTTTGAATTGGAACACAGAAAGTCGAGTCCCAATTCCAGTCGTAGGCTCTAAAATTCATTTACGTGCAATGCCCTTGGAAAATGCATGAGTCCACCTCCCCTACCCACGTCTAAGTGGTAATTAGTAGGACTTGTCACATTAAATCAATATTATCTCCCCAAAGATTCTTATGGTCTAGAATATATATTCTGACTTTAAATAACCTTCAAAAAGTTGATAAGCCGGAAAAATAAACCTAAATTTCCTCCCAACCGCTATGGGTTAATTAATTAATTGGTATTGTACCATTAAATCATTATTATCCCTCCAAGGTTTAAAATATATATTCTGGCATTAAATAACCTTCAAACGTTTGATAAGCAGTCAGAAACAAATTAAACTCCTCCAAAACGACTATGGGTCAAATTCGTAATATTTAAATCGTTATTAAATCCCCGAAAGGTCTAGAATATATATTCTGGCTTTAAATAACCTACAAAAGGTTGATAAGCTGTAAATACAATCAATCAATCAATTAAAAATATTAGACTTACCATAAAGACAGGAGTAAATAGCTGCATCTTCAAGTTAGATACCGAGCCAAGAACTGGTGACATCGAGAAGGTCAATGATAAAAAAATTAGGAAGAATGTTAAGTCCATGGAAGAATTTTAGTTAATAATCATTAAGTGGTCAGATTCAAAAATACTTTACGCCGATCGCTCACAATTCAACTCTCAGATAAGTTTGACAGACAGGGTCTCTGGCCAGTTGTTAGAATAAGGTAAAGTTTATTAAAGAACCAAATAAAGAAGTAGTACCAATATCAGCGTTCAATCACAGAAGCCACGCATCTGATCAGGGAATTGGCGGTTTTGAGGTGCGTGGGACCACCTTTTAATTGGTGTTGTTCCCAGGTCCGCCCTGACCAGAGGTGGTAGCATCTCTTAGGTTTCCAGCTATGAACAAATAGTGAATCGCCAACCGAAAATAAAACAGTATATATATAGTTTTTATAGTAAAAATACTAGCAATACATTTTATATTAAGAATTACCAACAGTATATATTATAGTAAAATTGCCAACAATACATTCTATAGCAAAATGACCATTAATACATTTTAATTGTAGCTGAAGGCATACAATTTCGTTCAAAATATTTTTTGTTGAAGTCATTAAATTGTATTCAAAATATTTAGATTTCGGGATTAAATAACCCATAGATGTGTTGACATGCCGTTAAACAACAACCAAGCAATCAATCCAAACAGGTAGTCTTCATTAGCTCGATTCTAATATAACTTTCCATTCTTTTGGCACCGAAAAGTATTGACTCTTAATACACGCGGGGGTTGTCCGTAGTAAGGTTGCTAGATTTGGAAAATAGAAATACGGGGCAAAATTCAAAATTAAAGTAAATGATTTCTTGTAATATTCTGTTAGTATATACGTTGGCTCCTCTCCCAAGCAGCAATATGATTTTATCATAATTTACAGGTGTATATCTAACATATAAATCGTTTGAAGTGTTGAATTTTACCCTAGCGAATCGGCTGTTATTATACGACACTTGCTAGGCACCCTTATCTCACAGTTTCCTTTCCAAGTCTGCTGCCAACACAGTTCCATCTGTGTGCCTTATGCCGACGATATCAACCAATAATAAATCCTTGTACGACAGGCGCCTCGGTGTAGATTAATGGTTAATGAGGCTATTTTGGTTTATCTTTACTACTAATCTTTGTTTTTACAATTTCTGTTCTACCATCCACTGAAACATCTCAATTGTGCTACTTGCTGTTTTTTCCTGCTCCGCTTGCATTCAGCATATGCCCCATGTGTGGTAAATTCTCCAAGCCTCTTTTCCACATTGTGTTTCACATATTTCACTCGTTTCTTGCTGGTTATAAGCATCGGTTTTCGTTTTCATTCCTATTTTTCATAAAACGTCCACAATATTCTTAGCCTTCGTCGGTAGAAGAACCATCTCATTAAAGTAGCTTCTTCATCTTTGAGCTGATTGTCCATCATAAACTGCTTTAACGGAGATGCGACATTGTCTACTATTAACATTATTCGGACTATTGTCCTCATCTTTGTTTATATTTATGGGCATGTTATGGAATGTCAACCAGGCATTGATTTCGCTCTGGGGCTGTTCTTCCACGTGCCATGGTAATGGATGTCAGTTATGGAACTGCAAGTTTTATTGCCTCGCCAGGTAATGACATCCATTAGATATGGCACGTGGAACTAGAACAGTCTAGCCCAGTGAGCGAAATAAAGGGTTCAGTTCGACATTCCAA